TCACAAATGATCATCAAAACAGGGATAGAAACGCTTAAGCTCCAATGTTTCCTAGAATGACGGAGGGGGTAACCATTTGATAGTTGAATGAAGAATCCGGCATTGTTTTTCACTTTTTCTCATTGTTGTATCCTGACTTGATATGTGCTTCCAAAAAGGGTTAAGGAAAAAAAGGAAAAGTGAAGCTTAAACCTGCAAGGCCCCAACTGTTATTAGGGCCTGTTTGGATCACCAGACTAAAGTTTAGTCCGTCGTTGGATAATAGTCTAAACATAGACTAATTTTAAAAAAAATCTAATGAGTTCTACTCATCAGTTAGCTTTTATTAGTTTTTGTTAAACCATCATTAGTTAATGTTTAGGCCTTCTATTTGGCATCCAAAACATGGTTCAAACTTTAGTTTAGCCCATCCAAAACAGGCCCTTATTATTATTATCACTACATCATGATTCATGAGCCGTACAAAAACACTCCCCCAAGAGCCATGAGCCCATGATGAATCAGCAAAGGTTGATTACATTAGAGGCTCAGAGAGACGTTGGGTGAGGGAAAGCACTAATAAAGTACTCCATTTGCATAATCCTGATTCCCTCCATTCATAATGCATGCATCACCGAAAGAAGAGGAAAAAAACAGAGAAAGACAGAGGGCTGGATTTGGTTTTTGGTTGCAGACGCCAACGTCTTTATTCTCTGCCGAGTGTTGAGTGCTGACCACCGCCCTGCCAAATCCCTGCACCCAAACACGACATGGCCGTGCCAGATTTGCTGCACGAATTTACTACTAATCTGCAGTAATTTGTTCCCTGTACATCCGTAATCTCGTCTCTAGACTACTCCTACTCCACGTTCATGCGTCACGAATATGATAGTAATATCTCTGTCTTCGGTCGGTTTGGTTCTTTGCCGCTGAGATGAATGCATGGATCTCACCACCCCAGGAATAAACAAGGGAGAGGCTGAAAGAAACCGAGGAGGAGGTTCCCAAGATCCTTTCCTTACAACTTTCGCCTTGCTTTTTGCAAGCCCTGGCCATGGCTTCTGCTCAGCTCGACCTCGACCGACTCCAGTACCCATGTGGGGATCACTCGTTTGCTGCATGGGTTCCCCAAATCAAGTGTTCAGGTCTCCGTGTGGGACCCTCCGCCTCCCGGCCCCGCTGATACGCACAGCCCCACCAGATCTCAGAAATGACCTTGACCAGTTGACCTTGTATGTGCACAAAGTAGAACATTGGCAAATGCCGAATGGTGTTGACATTACCACACTCATCGCTGATCTCCGGATCCTTCATAAAGCATGTCAAGGGTGCGTTGAAAACTCAAGATTCATTGACAAAATTTACCCACCGTGCCACGAGGTTACCCACCTCGTACCTGTTCGTTCTTTCTTTCTTTCTCTTCCTCTCGCCGTTGACGGTAGTTAACAACCATTATAAACCGTCAATAAAATATGTATAAGGGCACAATCGTGATCGCCAACAAAGATATAGAAGATATAGGGGTTTAAACTAACAAATTCCACGAGTTTTGGTGAATCTGTATTTTCTGCAGGGTTTATCCAGAAAACTGTCAAGGCGGACCTACATGTCAGAATTAATCGTGCTTCTCCACCGTGAAACGGGCACCAGAAGGTTCTATAGGACTCCAAAGGACACCACACCAAAGCGAGAGCCAAGGGGCTGCCATGTGGGGCTGAGCGGCCCCACCTGCAGGCCGCCCGGCCCCTGGGGCCACTTGTCAGCCTCCGCCTCGTTATGTCGGTTCTCCACTGTCTCCTAAGTTGTATCTACGCCGTTTTTAAGTCGGTTTGATCCAAGGGCTTACGATGGACGCTCCGGCCTATATAAACAGCCTTGTACCCTTCTCCCTCAGCAGATCCCTGAAACCCTAATTCATATCTTCGAGATCGAGCCAAAACAAACAAGAGAAGATTCTGCTCTGTTCATTTGAAACAGATTTTTTTCGATCACAAACGATCGTAAATTTCAAATTTTAAACAATATTTTTCTCTCACACAAACCAAGCCAGCAGTACTTCTTCACGAACCAGCCCAGCCAAACGAACATGTCGTTAATCCTCCATAGGATCTAATCTTATAAATAGAATAGTGAGATAGAGAGTAAGGGGAGAGTTTGGAGGAGGTGCCGGCCTATCGGTGCTCTCTCTACGGCTTGTATCCTGGCGAAGTCAAGTTCTATTTGAACTTGCTTTTGAGGATTCTCTAGTAATCAACTTCTAATTAAAGTAAGCATCGTGTTTATATTGCTCATCAGGTTCACAACTCTTTAAGTGCTTTAATCTATAGGACGCTCTAGGTTAAAATAATAATTGTAGGTGTAAGCGTGGTGCTTATACCGGGTTACTTATGGATGTACCCTATATTTCGGATCGATGGTAGCTCGCGATGGTGACTCTTATAGCCTCGTTGAATCATCGGTAGTCCACCTCCCGTTTGTAGGCCTAGCAGGATTTAGTTACTATAGTAAACATACTCTACTTGTGCTTCCCTTAATAATATCCCCAGTTGAACAGTAGAAGACATAGCTTACCCAAGTCAGAACTAGAGAACCTTAGTTATCCTCTCTACGCTCCTATTTATCATAACCTTGTTGCTACTCCTAGTTAAGTTAGACCATAGTTAGTCTCACCCATTTTCCTGTGGATACGATACTTGGAATACCTCCGGGTGAAAGCTACAGCGGTATCCGTGCGCTTGCGGATTTATCTGTGTGCGTTAAAATATATCAACACTCGCCTCTCGTCACTGGTGTATCCTCTGCCTCGTGCAGCCTAGTGCCCACCTCACGCGTCGCGTCGTGTTGTTGCACTGCGGTGCCCACCTCCATCCTGATACCTGCGTCGTCGCTGCCCCCTCCGTCGAGCGCCCCGGCCGTCGCGGTCGCGGGTATTGGGATGGAGGCCATCACGAGTATCACCGTTCCGGGAGAAAGGAGATGAACTTTTTCATTTTAGCCCCTAATTATATTTTTATAATTATATGTGAAGCCACTTCAGAGCTAGAGCTCTACCAAATGGTTTGGTTGGAGCTCGAATACACGGTGAAGTTGTTCCATGGTGGATCTGGTGGTTCAGACCTATTTTTTATCTAGTGCTCTCCCAGACAATCCACAAACTCTACCGTGGAGTAAATAAACTCCAAAAAAACATGAAGTTTCTAGAGCACCTCTTGAGGTGCTCTATCAACTCCATATTTTTTCCTATAGCAGAGTTTGTGGAGCTACATGTGTTTGGCAGAAACGTTTTTCTGCCAAAAAAAAAAGAAAGCGAAGCATTCCCAAACAAACCCCTCTTTCGTTCTAAAGAGGTCATGCATCGCCATTATTCACCACTTCATTGAAACGGTCGTGTAGCCTATTTAAACACCGTGTATACACTACATTGTGGTAAACTTTTTTTCGTTTAATAGTCTATATATTTGTTCCATTTAATTGGATGTTTAGCATGTTTAATAGGCCATTTAGCCTGAATAATTGGTAAATGATACTCCCTCGGTCCATCCGTCCCCTTTTAACTATCGTATTTAACTTTATCAAATATATACAAGAAAGTATTAATATTTATGGAATATAATTAGTATGAGTAGATAGATCGTTGAATCTATTTTTATAATAAACTTATTTGGAGATACAAATGTTGCTAATATTTTTACAAATCTAGTTAAATCCAAGAAAGTTTAACTAGTATGAATATCATAGTCCATAGCGAAAACTTAAAAAGAGAAAGGGAGTAGATAACTGACTCTTCAGTGTATACTGTGCGTATACAAACAATAGGTTGTACTCCCTCCGAGGAGTCAAACCGTTTGAACTTTGACTAAATTTATATAAAAAACTACTATCATTGGTGATATAAAATAAGTACCGTTAGATTAGTTATAGAATATATTTTCATAATAAATTTTGTTTAGAGACATAAATGCTAATATTATGTACTATAAATTCGGTCAAACTTGAGTTATTTTGACTGACACGATGGAGGGAGTACCATATGCCAAGCATCTTCCTCATTTCTTGGCAGATGGCCACATGCAAGCCAGCATTGAAACATGACAAAAGGCACCCATCTCCATTTCCTTCGTTCCTTGCAGCTGGGAGAAACGCCAGGAGGACGGACACCTGCAGCAGGCGTATGATTGTGCTTCTGAAAACAGCAACATGCACTCACCACCGGCACCGCGCCGCCCGCAAGGCCCGCAACAAACACAACAAAACTGGTCAAACCGGCGTGCGCGAGCGGGTCGCTGCTACGGTAGCGGTGCGGCCAACGGCCATGCGCCCAAGCCATGCGGGGGTGTTTTTTGAACGTACCGCACGGCGCGGGGAGGACGACACGACAGGCGTGGCCGCGTGGGAATTATGGCCGTAATAGCTCGGCACCTACGCGGAGGCCGGAGGCCGGAGGCAAGGCAACCACCGCGCTGCTCTCTCCTCTCCCTCCCTGTCCCTGTGCATGCACAGTGCTCTACCCAGTACCCCCGGCGGCCGCCATACAGGTACAGGGAGACTAGTGTGGTGAGGATCACGTGGAGCGGGCAGGACGACGACGGGGAGGAGACCCGGTTTGACGCGGCGCGGCCGCGGCCCCCGGGCAACTCTGCTCGGCCGTGGGAATATTTTACTGCTCGGCCGCGGGGGAGGAGCCGTTGCCGTTGGATGTGCGTGGCAGTGGCAGCCGCGGCGTGCGTGTCACCGCGGAGTCATCAGTGCCCTGCCGTTCGTTGGTGCGCTGCCTCGTGCCCCTCCCCACCCACGAGCCACAACGCAGGCCGCACCGCACCACCACGGCTGCTTCAAATCGCGCGTCGCCACGAGGGCGCTCCCGGCAGCTCGCACTCCTTCACACTCGCTCCTCTGCGGCTCAGTCCCCGGCTCCCCGCTAGCTCCCTCCCGTCCGCGTCCCACGAAAAGCGGAGAGAGGCAGAGAGGAGGGAGAAGAAGCAACAAGAACAGCAAACAAACGTACACCGTCCCCTCCTGAGATGGCGGCGCCGGCGCCGAAGCAGGAGGAGCTGCAGCCGCACGCCGTCAGGGACCAGCTGCCCTCCGTCTCCTACTGCCTCACAAGCCCGCCCCCATGGCGTACGCCCTTCCTTCCACTCCCTCCTTCCTTCCCCCCGTTACCTCCCATCTCCTCCTCCGCCCCGTCTGTCCTCGCCGCCGCCGCCTGCGCGCGTTGCTTCCTGGATCTCTCTCGAGGGCTCACGACTGACGCCGTCTCCCTTGTTTGCAATGCAGCGGAGGCCGTCCTCCTCGGCTTCCAGCACTACCTCGTCATGCTCGGCACCACCGTCATCATCCCGACCGCGCTCGTCCCCCAGATGGGCGGCGGCAATGTACGTCCACGAGACCCCGACTCTCTCCTCTCTCCTCTCTTCTCTCTTCTATGTATGTGTGTCCACCGCCGCCCGCCGGAGCCTGACACGAAAGCTCGCCGCTTTCTATCTTTTTCTCGCGCAGGAGGAGAAGGCGCGGGTGGTGCAGACGCTGCTGTTCGTCGCTGGGATCAACACGCTGATCCAGAGCTTCCTCGGCACGCGCCTCCCCGCCGTCATGGGGGCATCCTACACCTTCGTCGCTCCCACCATCTCCATCATCCTTGCCGGCCGCTACAGCGGCATTGCCGATCCCCACGAGGTGCGCCTCCTCGCCTTCCTGTCCTGCCCGGTTCCAAGTCCAACGGAGGCTGGCTGGCTTACCGATAGCACCGATTAATCTCTTTGCTGCAGAAATTCGTGCGCATCATGCGGGGCACGCAAGGCGCGCTCATTGTGGCCTCCACCCTCCAAATCATCATGGGCTTCAGTGGCCTTTGGCGCATTGTCGTCAGGTTCGTCTCCTGCTCTCGCCCCCTTCGTGTGTTCAGGTCCCAGTGTACCTCCTCTGATCCCATCTGTCTGTGCTAACTCCTGTTGCAGGATGCTGAGCCCGCTGTCTGCTGCTCCCTTGGTCGCCCTCGTCGGATTCGGGCTCTATGAACTGGGGTTTCCAAGTGTATGTCTTTCCACATTTAGTACTACATTTCCCTATATTATACCTGCATGATGTATTTAGCAACAGTGAGGTAGTAACATGAATTTATTTTACCCTGCAGGTTGCCAAATGTGTAGAGATTGGTCTTCCGCAGATTTTACTGCTGGTGGCACTTTCTCAGGTAGGATGCAACAGGAATTCAGGACTGCTGCTGTGTGGTTTCAATTGTAACGGTTGCTGGATCCTTGAGAACAATGTGTAATTTCTGTTTCTCTTTTGCAGTACATACCACATCTGGTCCCCTTGCTGAGTACTGCCTTTGAGAGGTTTGCTGTCATAATGTCCATTGCCCTCATCTGGCTTTACGCCTTCTTCCTGACGGTTGGCGGTGCCTATAAGAATGCTGCTCCGAAAACCCAATTCCACTGCCGCACTGATCGATCTGGGCTTGTTGGGGGTGCTCCATGGTAATATAATGCATCCTCTTGCATGTTCTTCCTTCCCTACCTAAGAGCTTTGTATGTTTTGCATACTTATTCAGAATGTAACATCCTGCAAAGAGCCTACTTGGCTACTAGATTGATAGATTATTGATCTACAATTTGCAGGATAAGTGTACCTTATCCATTTCAGTGGGGAGCACCAACCTTTGATGCTGGTGAAGCTTTTGCTATGATGGCAGCTTCTTTTGTTGCTCTTGTGGAGGTATGTTATTTGGATAAACCCATGATATGTTTGCAGCTTTGTTATCCTAGATGGGACTGCATATCATCTTCAAGCTAATACTCCTTACTGCATGATGCAGTCCACTGGTGCATTTATTGCCGTTTCACGGTATGCCAGTGCAACACCATGCCCTCCTTCCATCATGAGTCGTGGCATTGGGTGGCAGGTAACGTCCAAATTCCTTTGTTTGCAGTTAGTTTATCCGAAAATTTTGAATGACATCTGAGCATCTAACTGCCATATCCAACTAATTTGTCTATGCACCATTCCAGGGAGTTGGCATTTTGCTGAGTGGCTTATTTGGAACAGCTAATGGAACCTCTGTATCTGTGTAAGTAGATACTAGACGACTGCTGCAAGTACTTTTTATAGTGTGATCATGTGATCTGAATACTATTCAACATTTGTCTGATTTTGAATATTGTTATGGAACAGCGAAAATGCTGGGCTGCTTGGTTTGACACGCGTTGGTAGTAGACGTGTTGTACAGATTTCTGCTGGATTTATGATATTCTTCTCGATCCTTGGTAAGGCTCATGCTTTTACGTGACCATGTATTCAACAACTTTTGGCTGTAATACTTTGTGTTAAGTAGTTAAGGTTAACTTTAAGGCTGGATTGTTTAGGCTTGTTATCTGGACACAATTGAACAATTCATACTATGCTCCTGCACTTCTAATGATAATCAACTGTCTATAATGGTAATGTTTTTTGTGATGCCGTTATAGGGAAATTTGGAGCTGTTTTTGCATCAATTCCTGGCCCCATTATCGCAGCTATATATTGTCTTCTCTTCGCATATGTTGGTATGTAGCACGAAGCAAATTTTAAACTTTGCATCTTTATTTTTTATATAGAATCGTTGAATTATTAAAACGCTATGTGTTCTCCTGTACAAACAGGTATGGCAGGTGTTGGGTTCCTACAGTTCTGCAACCTGAATAGCTTCCGAACAAAATTCATTCTAGGATTCTCTTTGTTCATGGGTTTGTCGGTGCCACAGTATTTCAATGAATACACTTCCGTCGCGGGCTTTGGCCCAGTACACACGCATGCTAGATGGGTAAGATCCAGTTTAAAACACATTTCTGTCTTTATTATACGATAAAAGCAACATGCTGACACAGATAATTCCATGCTTCTGGTTATGCCAAATGTGCATTTGATATTATTGCATCATGGTTTACAATTTATAGACATCATGGTTCTGTGACATTGTTTTCTGATGTTATGTGCTTCTGAAATCACCTTCTAGTTAGTTTTACTGCTCATTTGGCATGCTGAAGAGCTACAAACTAAGAGATGTTTTTCCTTGTGCTTATGTCCAGTTCAATGATATGATCAACGTGGTATTCTCCTCGAAGGCGTTTGTTGGTGGGGTGGTGGCATATTTTCTGGACAACACCCTGCACAGGCGAGACGGCACCGTGAGGAAGGACCGGGGGCACCATTTCTGGGACAGGTTCAGGTCCTTCAAGACTGACCCGCGCAGCGAGGAGTTCTACTCCCTCCCATTCAACCTCAACAAGTTCTTCCCGTCCTTCTGATCTTGCTGCTGGTAACTGAAAACGGAAAATGTTGTTAGGTGGTTGTGATTTTGGCAATGCCACGCCCAAGCGTCTGTTTCTCTACTTCTGTTGTACCCCTTGAGTTCTGAATCTTGTAGAGCTCAACGTAAACTATTCGGAAGGTGTGGAGAAATTGCCTGGTATTTTTTGAAATTGGGTTGGGTTCTCGGATAGATCGATAAAATGAAAAGAGAACTGCTCCAATACTCCTTTCTGTAGATTAAACTCCAGTGCTATTTCAGACTAAACTAATGCTAGTCCATGTGCAATCGTTGCAGATTTGCAGTGAGATACTGATACTGAGCATTTGCTATTAATTTCCAGAATCAGAAGAGATCGAGTGTGTCTGGTAAAGGACGATGGACTGCCAGCTCACAGTTCTTTAGGCCGGCTCTGTCACATCATAATTTCTATATAACTGGTGTCTTGTCCTGCATTATCCTACGGGTTAGCAGTCGCAAATTGCACATCTTGTTGTATCAATTTGTACTAGGCATGTACAAATTGATTTTGCACCTCCATTCATAATGATGTAGGTAAAAAAATTACTGTGTGCGTAGTACAAAATTTAACTCAAAAGTTACCTCGACGACTACTGGATCCAACTTCTGTTATGATATTTTCTACATGCGGCTGACTTGCAACAAATCTATTAAACACATAATAGCTATCCATGCAACAAATCTAGTGGTGGTGAAGGGATGGGCATAAATCTATTAAACAAAATTCAAATTTTTTATAAATTTTTCGGCACATACATTAAACATCATTGCAAATCTTTCATAACATAATTTGCACAATGGATTTTACGGCTGATGGATAACACTCTTCTTCACTTTTAATTCTACTGTCAATGGATATTAAACACATTAGTGTAATTCCACTTCCGGTTCCTACAACCTCTGTAGTATCAACACTTGTCTTCGTGAATGGAAGTGGTTCTTCAATATTAGGATGACGATGAATAGCAATAAGCAGCATTGTGCAAGTCAAGTGACATCAATGATCAAACAGGCCACAGCTGAACGGCAAAAGGAGAGTGGTCTCCACCAAGCAGGCCGATAGCCCTCTGTCTCGGCCTTCTTGGCCCATCTGATAATCGCTTTCAAGGTCCACAAGTTGGTGGACCTTGGAGTCACCGGCCCAACCCTCTAAGTCTCAGATCGCACGCCCCCGGCAGTCCTCGCCTAAGTTTAGCCTTCCGGCCGCCGCACCGCCTTCTTCACGCCACGAGCGAAAGGAGATCACCGGAAGAGGGGCGCGGAGATGAGCGGGAGCGCGTTCAATGCGTTCAAGTCGCGTGTGCCGGTGGCGTGGAGTCCCCGGCTGTACATCACGCTGGTGCGGGGCCTCCCGGGGACGCGGCGCCTCCACCGCCGCACGCTCGAGGCCATGCGCCTCCGCCGCTGCCACCGCACCGTCGAGCACCGCACCACGCCGTCGCTCCTCGGGATGCTCACCCAGGTGAAGCGCCTCGTCGCCGTCGAGACCGAGGAGATGTACAACGTGCGGAAGCAGGCCGAGGCGGAGAGGCGCGCGCTCAGACCCCCGCTCGTCGTCTCCCACCGCCCGCCGCCGCCGACTCCGAAGCCGGCAGCAGCAGCCGCGGAGGGTGCCTCTGCCAATGCGCAGTAGCCTCTGGTAAGCTCCTCGAGTCCCGATCGTCCTGGTGTGGTCTGGTTTTCCATTTTGCCTGTTTGCCCTTCAAGCGTTTGATGCAATGCCTCAATTCAGTGCGCCCTGAGGGGCTGTCAATATAAAATTCAGATGCTTATTTCTGATCCAACATTCTTACACAATGAAATGGCTTTGTTTTGCTTATAATGAAGAAGCGAGTGAAGAGTTTGCGGTTATTGCATTTCTGTGTTGAGTGCTTTATACCAGACATAGGTCCAGTGTTTTCTGCTACTTCTTTACCTGGTAGATCATTATAACTCGTTACTTAGTTCTCCATGTAACGAAATGGAGGGCGCAGCTCTAACCACATTACGGTGGATAGCTCTTAAAAGTGTTTGAAAATCAGAGTATTCAGTTAGTTTACTAGTTTAAACAGAAGTAAAAGTGGGATTAAATGAGCAGTGCAAACCTATCTCGTTATTAATGGTTAATAACACTGATTATGTTTTTATTTTTCACTTAGCAGGAACAATTAAAAATGACCAAGATCTTTCTAGGTGTTTGTGGTTAACACTGACAAAATAGCATCTAGAGGAAAGGGCGTCATTGTGATTAAAATTAAGTTAAAAAACTATACAATTAGCCTGACCTATCAATTCTTGTTAACCCTGAACAGCTAACTGGCTGTTTCGACTACCACATAAATACAAATTGATGTCAAGTTCTTAGCTGAAGAAATAAGATAACAGTACAAAACACATTAATCATTAGTGACAAGCATGGTTATGAAGGCATAAGGCAAGGTGGGGTGACCCGCCCCCTTCCAGACACCTAGGCCTGCGGTGACGCAACACCACACATGCATTCCAACCTACAGTGGAGCAGCAATGCAGCATAAACATACCTTGTTGCTGTAGCTGACACAGAGACATATATCACAATCTGTAAACTCTAATCAATGCAAAGATGAATAAACTAACTAAAGGCAGTAAAGCACAGCCACACATTTGCACATAGCAGTGAAACACTATGGATCTATGGATATACAGCAGCAGACTTGCAGAGCACAAAACACAAGTGCTGGGCACCTAGCACTAGTAGTCTAGTACAAGCAGGCAGAGCAGTTCACAACTTCGCATCCAGGCACAAGCAGGTGCATCACAGCAGAGCAGGCACAAGCTGGAGGAGCAATGCACGTCCAAGCAACAACCATAAGAGGAGGGAGGCGGGTGGGGAGAGAGAGATACCTGTGTGCCATGGCCCGTGAGCTTGTGACAACAGGCTGATAGGGATGGGAATTGGCAGAGCAGAGGAAGGATGCGTGAATCTGAGGTGCAAACTGGTCGAGAAGAGAAACGAGGCATGAACCGAAGGTGTCAGTTGGTGAAGAGGATGCCAGGATGGAGGCACGAATTAAAGGCACAAATCGGTAGAGAAGAGGGAGGAATGAGTCAAAGGAGGGCCAAGGGAGGCATGAATTGATGGACCAAAAGGAGCCATAGCAGCTGGATTCCGGCTAGGTGTGCTCCCTTCCCCCTGCTATGTCTATTGGCATGCAGGACATAGGGGAGAAGGACTACGGGGGTTGCAGTCGTGCAATTTCTCGCCAGCGCAACTCCAGTTGATCTCCCCAGCGCGCGAAACTCCCATGCCCCACTGCATTGTTCCCTTTCAATTCATGTGTGGTGTCCGCCTCAGGTTGCTGGGTGCAAAAAGCCAAAAGCGTCGCCACATTGTGCCTAGGCGAGGACTTTTGCTGTAAGACAGAATGACAGATGCCATATGATGAGTGGTTGTGGTGAGGCCGACGCCCTGACTGAACGCCTAGGCGCCGACTTAAAATCCATGGTGATAGGTTGCATTGTGGGTTGAACTGGCCCTTCTGAAGCAGGAACAGTGCATGGAAACAAACATAAAGTATTTATATCCTATTTTGCTTCAAAAGTTCTTTGTTGGATGAGCTATGCCACATATCACGCTG